TTTTTGTTTTCTAGTACAGAATATACTTAAATGCCGTGTAAGATGGATCTATATTGTATGTACAATGTATAGTCAAATGCCGCGACTATATAATTAATGTACACAAACTTACATACGTCTAGTCGGGTTTTGAAATGAAGGATTTTACAGTATGATGGGTATACTGGTGTTATTTGAAAAGCTTCATGTAAATAGAGAAAGAGAATGAACATAAATTAAGACATCACATTTACCCCCCCCCCCCCCCCCCCCCCCCCCACTGGTTTCCTACCTACAGATGATGCTTGCGTAGGGTAAAAAAAAAATTCTGAACAATTATATCAATAATCCTTAATAGAGTATTTAGGCAAATTTTATTATAAAATCAAACTCAAGAAGAATAATCCGCCTACGGAAATCAAACACAAAATTATCAATATTATTTGAAATCAAAAAGTTCAAATTTCTCAGTAAGAAAATGAATTTTTGTTAAATGTATCAAAATATACTCGTAAAATTATTTAAATGCAAGAAATAAATTGTAATGAATGACTAATATATAAAAAATGTATTTTATCAAACAGTCATTCATGACATCAGTATTTTGTTTTTTAAACATTTAAATAAATAAATACGAAAGGACAATTATTTATTAATTCATTGCAACTCTCAGAATATTAAATATTTCTATCGGTTTATATGATACTAATGTACTAATATTTAATCTAAACAACTGCTAAATGTGGCTTTGTGAAAGTTTCCATGTAATTAATGATGAAAGCGTATTAATGTCCAAGATATTCCGAGTAAAAAATCCAAACCGAGGCCAAAACGTGCGAGAAACGTGTACAAAGCGTGTGAGAAACGTGTACAAAGCGTTTGGTGAAGCCTTCCGTGTAAACCGTGCAGCCTTTCGTGCAAAGCGTTTCGTGTAAACCGTGTAGCGTTTGGGGCAAACCGTGTAGCGTTTCGTGTAAACTGTGCAGCGTTTATTGCAAAGGTTTCGGGCAAACCGTGTAGCGTTTCGTGTAAACCGTGTAGCGTATCGGGCAAACCGTGTAGCGTTTCGTGTAAACCGTGCAGCCTTTTGTGCAAAGCGTTTCGAGTAAACCGTGTAGCGTTTCGGGCAAACCGTGTAGCGTTTCTTGTAAACCGTGCAGCGTTTCGTGCAAACCGCGTGGCGTTCGTGTACCGTTCGTGCAGCGAGCGTGTGGAGTAGTAGCACATCTGAGGTTCTGCACCTATACATTTCATAAAACATTGTTTTTATCCCCCACCCGACACAGAAAAGTACGAACATTGAAAATCTTGCCCGAAATAGCCCCCTGGTTGTTTTAATTTTAAGAGTGTGTTAAGTTTTGGTAACCTTACTCTTTCTAATCACGTGAAAACAAGACGATCATTACATTTAAAAAGAAATTTGACTAAAACATAAAAACCAATAAATATTCTACATTTATAGACGCTTCCTGGTAGAGAAATTCCCATCAGGTAATAAAATTATTGTCTTCCTTGTCAGAAACGAGTGTCATGAAAAAAATGTATTTCAAGAAGATATATATCTTATCATTCAAAGTATTTTGTTGTAACAAAACTTTCCGTGTTAATATCGATACTAAATAGAGCTTGGTCATATTTCCTTCCGTATTTAGGTATGGCTTCATAAACTCAATAACAAACTTAGTGATGAACACAAACAGTTATACTGAAGGTATCCCTCTCTTAACTATTCTCTCTCTCTCTGTGATAAAAGGATAAAACAGTAATTGTTTGGGAGAAAACAAAATATCTGATCCTGTTATAGGACAGGTCATGTGTTGCTAATACTCAATAAATACTCAATAACTTCTTTGCAAATTTTAAAATATATCTGTCATGTCTAAAAGTTCAGAAATGGGTGATCTTTTATTGTTTTACATCAAAGTATCATCTACTGGAATTTAACAAAAAATCTCGGAAGGTTTGGAGAGACAAGACCTGCGAATGCGATCTTCGCGGAAATCCCGTCAGACTCAGCGTCAGCAGACGGACTCAGAGGATGGCGAGACGGACAACATCTTATCACTTCCTGTCACAGGGCTAGACTTCTCACATCTCGACAAACGCGAGAAAGTCCTCAGTAACGCTAAGGGTATGTTGTTTATATATCACGAGAAAGTCCTCAGTAACGTTTATGTTGTTTATGTAGTACAATATACTTTAGAACGATTAGATTTAATGATCGCTCAATATCCGTAGAATTTGTAGGTACCTCCTGTTTTTGAATTGATAAACTGACTTTGGCTTTTTAAAGTTATCTTTCCTTTTGCCCTTTTGCAGATACAAGTGAATTAATCCTGGAAATTAAATCCCTAAGAAAAGAAGGCTTCCTTAAATTTTATGATTCCCAAGTACTTAAAATTTCACCCTTAATATTTAACTTGCTTTAGTCTTCTATATAGTATGAAGATTTCATCCCTGTAAATTAACATATCAATTAAATTGTAATTTTAGCCAAGGTTTAGTTCACAATATTAAATGAATCTAGAATTAGACATACATCTATATCACTAGCTGCAGAACTGTAGCATTATAGTTTTCTATAGTTGTCCTTGACCATTACGCCACAGATCCCATAATGCAAACTATGGCGAACCATTTTTTGTGCACTGTTCGGGAGAATTTCAGCAATCTCCAGCATTAGTAAATCTTCTACTTTCCCTCCATAATTCTAGACACATTTTAAATAAATCTGTATGTTTTATACACCTCCCAATCCTTTATAGTCGTCTCTACAAGCGATTAACTCGTTTGAATTCGAATTTTCTGCAATCCCTTAGAGCATTCAAGTCAAGCTAGTTTATCGCCCGTAGAGGCCACTATGAAGGGTTGAGAGGAGGATAAAATATACAAATTAGTTTAAAAATGTGTCTGGAAGTACAGGGGTAAAAACAAAATGATTTACGACAATTAGAAATTGAAACTCTCCTAAACAGGGGGAAGAAATTATGCACAGTAAATTGCACAATTTTTGGTCACCAGTGACCTGAGTTTAGTCAAGTGACGTATTGATATCTGTTATCATCTGTCGTCGTCTGTTGTACATCGTTCCTAAACTTTTGAACATTTTTAGCTTCTTTTCTGACTACTGAACTAATTTCAACCAAATTTGGTATACAGCATCATTGGATGAATGGAAACAAACATTGTGAATTTCATAGCTGCTTCAAGACTTCAAAGTTGGATTGGTAGGAAGATGAACAATGTCGCATCGATTTTTTATGAACAAAGGGAAGTTACGCTTATTGACATTAAATTTTCCGGATTTTTCCTGAGTGAATTTGATTTTGTTTTTACTCTACTTCCTTGTTAACAAAATGGGAAACCATGGCAATGAAATGTCAGACGACACAAAAAACGTGATAGTACAATTAATAGAAAGTGGACATAGGGCATCAGAAGTCTACAATTTTGAAATTTTTAAGCCACAGTCACAATTTCATATAAAGTTTCATTGTCACATTTAGGATTTTAACAAACAGCTGCTGAAGAAGAAATTTTTAGCTATGAATGTTTGCTCGAATGCATGAAGCTTAAGGTAGAAGTTTTTCATTTAAAAGAGACAGCATAGTGATTTTTGACATCTGATCCCATCTCTGATGTTTTAAAAGATGTAATTCTTCGTTTTGCTCCTGATATGTAAGTCCGTTATTTATACACTGTATTGACGACAGATAATTACGTGACCTGATATGGAGTCAGCTGATTCCCAGTATTTGTTTCTAATTTAAATAATTAGTTAAGTGGTACGGGATTGTGAACAAAATTGATAAATACCGTGCAGTCTTTATTTAACACCAATACCAACTGAGTACATCTGACAGTTACTTGTCTGTTTATTATACAAAAATCCATTACATGCATTTAAAAAAGATATGTACAGAAGTTAATTTTACAAAACAAGTTTTCATAAAATAATATTTGATGGATTTTCTTCATTGCATAAAATATTCATTCTTAACACAAGAATTTTTTTTTGCTTTGATGGAGGATAATGCTTGTAAGATTCAATATACAAATATTTTAATAATTTTCTTGGATTCATTGAATTTTGTTTGAATGCATCCTCAAAAGTCATGCGGAATAAAAAAAAAAATTGAAAGTGAGATCACCAATGTCCAATACCTTCCTTGTATATTTCTACTGAAATACGTTATATATAACAGAAATAAACTGGCATATCTGTATAAATAAATTCCATTACAAAGATGAGCCAAAGGTCACCTTTCTATAAAGGTCACTTTTAATGCCTCCCATCTGATCCCATCTCTGATTTTTTGACATATGTAATTCTTTGTTTTGCTCCTGATATGTTAGTCCGTTATTTATACACTGAATTGACGACAGATAATTACGTGACCTGATATGGAGTCAGCTGATTCCCAATATTTGTTACTAATGTAAATAATTGGTCAAGTGGTGCGGGATTGTGAACAAAATTGATAAATACCGTGCAGTCTTTATTTAACACCAATACCAACTGAGTACATCTGACAGTTACTTGTCTGTTTATTATACAAAAATCCATTACATGCATTTAAAAAAATTATGTACAGAAGTTAATTTTACAAAACAAGTTTTCATAAAATAATATTTGATGGATTTTCTTCATTGCATAAAATATTCATTCTTAACACAAGAATTTTTTTTTGCTTTGATGGAGGATAATGCTTGTAAGATTCAATATACAAATATTTTAATAATTTTCTTGGATTCATTGAATTTTGTTTGAATGCATCCTCAAAAGTCATGCGGAATAAAAAAAAAATTGAAAGTGAGATCATCAATGTCCAATACCTTCCTTGTTTATTTCTAGTGAAATACGTTATATATAAACAGAAATAAACTGGCATATCTGTATAAATAAATTCCTTTACAAAGATTAACCAAAGGTCACCTCTCTATAAAGGTCACTTTTAATGCCTCACGTAGGTGGCTGCTAAATACAGGTTTGGCTTTAATTATGATAAACATTGGTGCCTCTTTCATTTTATTATAGACTTGTTATTTGCTTTGTAATACATATAATAAAACAGACAGAAAAGAAAATATGAAGTCAGAAGAGGATATGTAAACGATATTATCTTTCAGGTGAACTCCTAAAAGTGTAATCTGACATTTAATTAATTAAAAGAATCCATTGACAAACTCTGTATTCTCATTTCTGTAGCTGTTTGTATATTGTGGAATGGTTCTTGTCTGAGAGATTGTTGGTATGAATATAGAGCAGCGTGGGGGTTCCCTGTCACCTGTTGACAGATCCCCAGAATCTGCCACGATATGTCTCTATGATCTGAAAAAATAAGCTGTCCCTGATCATAGTGAACTAGGGTCTGTAGATCATCTCGAGCTGTTTGTGCTCGCATTGTGTCTACATGTCTGTAACACAAAATCTCTAGCATGTATAACAGTACCAAGGGTGGTACAAATAAAAAAGGCCAGTGTCTCTGTAGAGCAGACTTTTGTTCTGGTATCAGTTCACTGATGTAATGGATTCTATTGTAAAGTATGAAATTCCCTGCTACAGCCTGTCTCATCCTTGTAGACCAGGACTGTCCCCCTACAGCCTCAGTATACATCTCTTTATCTCTATTACCCATATTCATCACATATGGCTGTGCTAACTTGACCTTGATCATGTCTATAATAGATAAAGCTTCCATGTATCTAAGTGTCTTATAATAATGCATGGCTATGTACAGCATGTCTGTAATACAACCAAACCTGGCTGCTAATTTCAGCATGTGACAGGACATTTTGTCAGCTCTATAACTCAGTTTTTTGTCAGGTGTGTATGTTTCTATGTGAAATATAAAAGCATTGTACTGAAGGATCGTAGCGGTCATGTTCTGTAGCATAATAACTTGACACTGTGTCAGGAGGGGTAAACTTATCATCTGTTCTATTGTTTGTAGGTATCTAATGCAGATTTGCATGTCCACTTGGACTGGTATTGTGTAATGACGTAGTATTTCACAAAATAGATTTCCATCAAACTCAGCCTCAGAAATCAGAATATGATCTTCTGTACAGATGGAGTTTCTGGGGTTATAGAGGACATCTATAATACAAGATCTAATGGAGGGACTATGTAGCAGGAATGCTAAACCTTTTTCATACAACTCGGACAGTCTTATAAATAACTGATTTTGTTTGACACCATGAATTTTACTCAGAAACATATTGTTGTCTGGAATGAAAAAGTTAGGACAGACCCCCTCATACACCCATTTGAGAATGAGTTTAAAACAGACCCAGAAACCCTCCAATAGATTTTGTGGAGACCAGTGAGGTACTGTATTTTGTTGAATCACCCAGAAAACTGCCGTCTTCATGTGATAGGAACACATTAATTTATCATCATCACCTACTCCATTGTTAATTATTTCTGTTAAGATCAATTTAAGTAGGCCGTACGTTAAGAATTGACAGTGATTCATTACAAACACAAGTTTTTGTTCTGCTTGGGAGAAAGAAATTCTCCATTCATGATCTTCATGATTTCCTAGCTTATGTCCAATTGCTACAAAGTGACATCCATTTTTCACTTTATCATCAACAACATGAGGCTGGGGCCATGAATGACATCTGTCTATCCATGGGGAGGCAGAGGGAGGCCAAATATCACTGATAAGACAGTAGGCATGATCAGATTCTTGTGTTCCCAATGTTCTACTGGCACAGGGTCCATGTGGAGTAGGGTTATAATTAAATGTTGAATTAGATAAAAAGATCTGTCTGTGTTTAGAACTAGATACATAATATCTGTTATTCATTCTAACACATGCTCTAAAGATGTATCTGTTCGTTTTTGGTGACAGTAAATATAACAAAGTAAATCCTGGTGGACTATCAGAACAGTCACAGAGGATCAGTGCTTGTCTGTGTGTGTTGTAATACTGAGACTGAGATAATTCCCAGATCACACGGTTATTGCTTGGCCAGAACATAGAATCTATATCTGACCCTTTCAGTCTGAATCCTTCTCTTTGACTTCCACTCACCATCAGTCTGAACTTATGACTTGATTTCACTTGATTTCTCACCATATCCCTGAAGTCCATCACATCTCTCCTTATGGCCACCACTTGTGAGGTCCCCACTTTACGACACAGTCCCACAAACACCGACTCTGATATGCGTTGTATGGCTTTAGTACTGAGAATGATTAAAGTGGAATTCATATTCTTGTATAATACCGTTTTACTTTTGTGAATCTATATTATAATTATCATAATTGATAATTTTTACATTCATAAATCATAAAATAAAAAAATGCTTTTTCAACTGAATCAGTTATTTTTAAACTCAACTGAATCATTCAATGTTTTAAATAGTGAAATTTGTAACTAAAAGTGTCTAGGATATATATTTCATTCAGTGGTGTAAAAAGTTAAAACCATTTTTCCTGTCAACAAATTACACTGATTCAGATGATTTAGGAATTGTTTTTAGAGTTATAAATTCTCGTCAATAAAGGTCATTGGAGACAAATACCTGATCATATTGTGTTACATACGGGAATTACTTTATCTGAGCTAATAATATGAGACTGAAAATGTTATTTAGCTTTTTAATGCAAGATAACGACAACACAGTTGATCAAACTTATTCAGTCGGGAAAATGAGCTTTGACTTACGTTGCTTATCTCCCTTAGCATATGAATTCAGAAAGGACCAGTCGCTGTTCAAGGCTATGCAATGTTAACAAACTGTCATGTCATTTTTCAGATAAGTTATAAAAAATATCATCGCCATTACTAAGAATTATACGATCTTCAAACAGGCTGGTATTTATTTTTTTTTTAAATTTCATCGCATATTTGCAAGATTTTAAGCATGTTTTATCAGTCAGTGGTTTAATTTCATTGTTTGAGACTTCGACCGATTGAGAGAAAGGATAAAAGCGATCGAAAGAGAGAAAGATGGGAGATTGGGAATTGATTCACTTTTATATGTAGGGCATTTATTTAAAACATTGTTTTTATCATCAAGAGTCCAATGTTGTCAATGATTCATTTTAACTGGACAAAATAGACCTAGTAAATGTGCTACTGATAGGAAGGGCCTGTTGCTTTTATGGGTTTTTTCTTAATGTGAAGTTATTATATATGATATAAATCATTATATACGGTTATTCATGCACAACACTCTACCCCACTTCCTGTCTCTCACTCTGCAGCTCCTCACCCCCACCCCCGATCTTCGATTTTCCATACTTTTTGTAAAAGAAAATTCTCGAAAACTTATAATTTTCCCAGAAGGTTTTTTAACAACTAAAACAAGAACTAAACAATTTAAACTTAAAAAAATATGCGTAAATTGGTACAAACGACTATCAAACAAAATAAAAAATCGCAGCCTACGAAGTAAAAAAGAAATTCAAGGCTTCATTAAGTAAAAATACATCTATGAAATGTTTGAAAATAAGTATTTAAAGAGTAGATAAAAAATCGATTTCTTTTTCAGTTGAGTAAAGTTTTAAAAAATACTGCGGCATAGACCGTGTATTTACACGTATTTTAATAGCCTTATATCAAAGAGTAGTACCTATCAATGTGATTCTATTGTAAGAATCTCGGTTGCTTTGAGCTTAAATTTAATTTCTTATTATTATTACTAGTAATGATGTACTGTCTTTCTGTACGAGAATACTATCTACTGCTGTATCAATAATGCAGCAATATGTGTCTTTCAGATCAGAGAATACGAAACTTGAAACATGCTGACATTTTAAGTGGTAAACGCTTATCACGGATTTCAATACCACTGGTACCCAATGTTAATTTTTGGAGTATACATGAGGGATATTCCGTACATACTTGTTAAAAATTCTTTTATATTTCTATAGGCCTAATCAAATTTCTGCTGTAAGTTGATATATGTTAATCTTTATACATCATTCTATTCTTGTTTCATTTCGTGATTATTCTTGATTTAAAAAGGACAGTTAATATTTTTTCATCAAAACACGATGAAATCCTCTTGATTTTGTACTAAATAAAGAAAATGGTACTCAATTATTTCTGAAGATTTGATTAACAAAGAGTAATTAGTCTGATTGTTCTAGGATATTCATCAGGGTCATCCTCTGAAGAAAAAACAAGTCTTCGGTTGCCGTTATTTCTTATCAACTAATTCAAACTGAAATATAGGAACTGCGAAATCATATAACTCATCTGAACACAGACACGCGTTTATATCCACAAAAAAATATGATTAACTTGATAAAATAGATTTACATTATGTCCCATGATCCATTTGCATCCGTGGGCCTTTGTGACGTCATAAAACCACAAAATCAAGAACGAAAAGCAGGTAATAAAAGCAACAAGTGGAATACTTTTTGTATTAATTTCACAGCAGAACAAAGGCCAGAAAATAGAACTATTCTTAATTTAACATTCTTACATATGTAGCTTTGGGTTTAAACAGTGAAATTATGGTGTAAGGCATCGTTTCCTATGACCTTTAAAACTTAAGTTTGTGAGCTTCTAATGAAGTCCATTTTCTTCAGCGTACATTCCTTTCTGCTGATATGTAGGCTAGTGTGAAGTCACAGATTTAACCTGGGGTGCAAAATGTGGATAGACAAGGAGCTTCCTCTCAATAGGTATTGGGGGTCAAGCTCAGACAACTACAATTCTAATTTGACAAGTGAATATAATATTGTCGACATATCTCAGTTAACTATGCTTAGGAAATTTGGGAACTTTCTTACTAAATCAAATTCCGTCAAAAAGTTGAATTTCCTGCTTACCCAATATAACTCAAGTTGTCAATATCGTTTCCTGCATGTATTTGGACTCCTGTTGTTTTCAAAAAAAATTCCTGATATAGACTTGAAATTAGTAACACTTGAACTTTGGCTTAAAATATTTCCAGCTATGGAATTAGTTTTGTCCTTAAATGTATAGCAAATATAGGATACTATTAGGTATAAAATTGTGGATAGCAAAGAATGGCTTTTATATCCCTACATGAATATGGCCGGGGCATAGAATGTTTGTTATGTCCGTCTTCTGTCCTTCCGTCAAACTTTGCAGTAGCTCAGAACCTTTATCCAAGGGATGTAAACGTATAATCTGTCCCTGATCATAGTGAACTACGGTCTGTAGATCAATTAGAGCTGTTTGTGCTCGCATTGTGTCTACATGTCTGTAGCACAAAATCTCAAGCATGTATAACAGTACCAATGGTGGTACAAATAAAAAGCACCAATGTTCCTGTACTCTAGCAGACTGTTGTTCTAGTATCAGTTCACTGATTTAATGGATTATATTGTCAAGTGTGATAACCCGTGCTACAGCCTGACTCATCTTTGTAGACCAGGACTGCCCCCCTACAGCCTCGATATACATCTGTGTATCTACATTATGCATATACATCACATATGGCTGTGCTAACTTGACCTTGATCATCTCTATAATAGATAAAGCTTCCGTGTATCTCAGTGTCTGGTAATAATACAAGCCTATGTACATCATGTCTGTAATACAACCAAACCTGGCTGCTAATTTCAGCATGTGACAGGACATTTTGTCAGCTCTATAACTCAGTTTTTTGTCAGATGTGTAAGTTTCCATGTGTTATATAAAAGCAGTATACTTAAGGACACTAGTAGTCATGTTCTGAAGCATAATGACTTGATACTGTGTCAGGAAGGGTGAACCTTTGATCTGTTCTATTGTATGTAGATATCTAATGCAGATTTGTGTGTCCAATTTCCTTAGTATTATAATAAGACGTAGTATTTCACCAAATAGATTTCTATCAAACATATACTCAGAAATCATTTGTGCAAATGGAGTTTCTGGGGTTATATAGGACATCTATAATACAAAATATAATGGAGGGACTATGTAGCAGGAATGCTAAACCCTTTTCATACAACTTTGATAATCTTATAAATAATTGATGTTGTTTGATGCCATGAATTTTACTCAGAAACATGTTGTTGCCTGGAATGAAAAAAGTTAGGACAGACCCCCTCATACACGCATTTGAGGATGAGTTTAAAACAGACCCAGAAACCCCACAGGAGATTTTGTAGACACCAGTGAGGTATTGTATTTTGTTGAATCACCCAGAAAACTGCCGTCTTCATGTGATAGGAGAGCACAGTAATTTATCATTAGAACCTACTCCATCGTTAATTATTTCTGTTAAGATCAATTAAAGTAAGCCATAAGTTAAAAATTGACAGTGATTCATTACAAACACAAGTTTTTGTTCTGCTTGAGAGAAAGAAATTCTCCATTCATGATCTTCATGATTTCCTAGCTTATGTCCAATTGCTACAAAGTGACATCCATTTTAATAATAATAATAATAATAATACTTTATTTAGAGAAGGTAACCCGATTAGTGCGAACACTAGTCTTCCTCGGGGCCTTCTTTAAAAACACATATACAATGCATATATACAATAAATAAAATTACAATTATGAGACAATAAAAAATCAATCAGTATGTTACAAACAAATGAAAACATCAGAATTTCAGTAAAGAGAGATTTATTAAACATCCTTTTTATGCAGATTTAAAAGAACAAGAGATCTTTTATCTTCTTCTCTTTTCAAATTCTTTCTTTAAATTTCTTATAATTCACAATTTTCTTTGTTTTTTTTTCTTTTTATAAGGAAGCCAATTCTTCATTGTGAACTTATACAAAAACGTGCGTCATAATTCAGTGTAGAGAATAAAAACGAAACAAAACCCAAGAACACATAAAGAAACATACGGCATAATTCAGTGTAGAGAAATAAAACGAAACAAAACCCAAGTACACATACAGAAACGTACGTCATAATTCAGTGTAGATAAAAAACCAAACAAAACCCAAGAACACATACAGAAACGTACGTCATAATTCAGTGTAGGGATAAAAACAAACAAAACCCAAGAACACATACAGAAACGTACGTCATAATTCAGTGTAGGGATAAAAACAAACAAAACCCAAGAACACATACAGAAACGTACGTCATAATTCAGTGTAGAGAAATAAAACGAAACAAAACCCAAGAACACATAAAGAAACGTACGCCATAATTCAGTGTAGAGAAATAAAACGAAACAAAACCCAAGAACACATAAAGAAACATACGGCATAATTCAGTGTAGGGATAAAAACAAACAAAACCCAAGAACACATACAGAAACGTACGTCATAATTCAGTGTAAAGAAATAAAACGAAACAAAACCCAAGAACACATAAAGAAACGTACGCCATAATTCAGTGTAGAGAAATAAAACGAAACAAAACCCAAGAACACATACAGAAAGGTACGGCATAATTCAGTGTAGAGAAAAAATCAAACAAAACCCAAGAACACATAAAGAAACGTACGTCATAATTCAGTGTACAGAAAAAAAGAAACAAAACCCAAGTACACATACAGAAACGTACGTCATAGTTCAGTGTAGAGAAAAAAACGAAAAAAAAACCCAAGAACACATGTATTCTTTCCTGGTCTGTATATTTAAGAAATATTTAAGACGGATGATTACAGTTTAAAATCCACATTTCTTGAACTTAATTTTTAGGATTCTCTCACATTCACCAATTGCAGAGAAGATCACTTAATTAACCTGTAAAGCAAGTGAAGATGGTCAATCAAAGTGATAGATTTCAATTATTTAGGTAGCCCTCCACCGGCAAGTGGTGGCGTCTCCATATGATTGAAAAATTCTCGAGAGAGACGTTAAACAACATACAATCAATCAATAAATCAATTATTTAGAGTCAGACTGCCTGAGCAAACTCAATGCTCTTTCTTCTAATCAGTAATGTATATATGATTACAGTCTCACATTTTTGCAAATGTAAGAGCTGTGTTAAACTTTTGCTAAGAAGAAAATACAGAGACCACTATGTTTTTCTCTCTGAAATCATATGTGTAAAAGGAAAGGAGAAAATAGTAAAATTGTTTGGTTGGACAGGAATCGAACCCAGGACCCTTGAATCATGAGTCTGGTGCTCTACCGACTGACCTACCCGAGGGTGGTATCCACGGCCCGAACCATTACAAGACATACAATAAACCAGATTACCTGTATAAATCCCCCCGATGTGTTGTTATTTTTTGTGTGGACTATTGGAAAATTGTGTAAGGCAAACAGAAGGCTGTATTAATATTGCATGAAAATCGCTGTGAAATCAATCCACAGTCTAAACAATCTCAGACCACAGTTACTGTGTGTTTATTTCTCAGACTTATGGCTGTGCAAATGATTAAACTAATCAATACATGCCAATTAATTAATATGTGTGTGTTCAGAATCAAAATCTAAGGATTTATCAATGATTTTAGTTTAAAAAGACTTTAAGTATTTAGTTAGATGTTGGAATTTTTTTTTTCAATGCAACAAAGAAATTAGTTTTCTGATTTGGAGACATCAAATTTTTTTTTTGTTTGACCTTAAGTTAATATATTTCATTCAACAAATTGAGATTGCTGGATAATTACAGCCTTATATGATTGTTTTAATATGTACTGTCCGGGGCAAGGGGTCAGATTTTAACTGCATGCATTCTTGTAACTATCATAAATATTTTCTTATAAAAAATGCACCAATAACCAAGTGCTATACCTACGATATGTATATATAAAGATATTATAAACATTAAAATTTCTGCACTTTAATTTTAGTTAATATTTTTAGAAAATTATTCAAAATTTAGCCTTAAAGCATAATAATCTTAGTCTAAAATGCACTGATATATTCACAAATTTTGTTAATAAGGATTTAAAAGTACATAAAAAGTCTTTTTTTTTTTTTTTTTTTTAGCTTTTTGCTGCTTTTATTTCTCAGTTCTATTTTTAACTTATCTCTGTTTTTAAGGCTTCATTATTCTAATTTTTTCTTAAAGTTTATGTTAAACAGTATTACAGGAACCTGGTCCTTTGAATTATTTTCATTATTAATTATTAGAAATTTATTTTTTTTTTATTTTGAAATATCACAGTCCTTAATATCTTTATTTCAATTAACAATTTATAGTGGTAAAAAAATAGAGAAGTGGGTAAGACATGAGGTATATATATAAATGAATTCTTACTTTCACTTTCACTTTGATTGATACAGGTTCTGAGATTGCCAAGTCTAACCTTCTTCATAAACGCAACAAAAAACTGAGTGAGGAGTATAAACAGTTACTGAAGGTAAGAATGGGGAGGGGGGTAGAAAAGGGGGAAGGGGGTCAAAAACAGTTATTGAAGATAAAGGGGGGGTTCTAAATGAAGGTGTAATAAAGGGGTGCTCTATAAACTCAATAAACTCACCAAAAATATGATTGAGTGAGGAACATAAACAAACACTGAAGGTAAGGGGGTAATATAAGGGGAGGAGGAATGAAAAGAAAGAAAGAACAAGTAAGAGGAACGAGATTTTTCCAATAAACAAAAAAGAGAAAAATCTGACAAGCCAGACTGAGATTTATTGATAAAGGGGGGAAGGGGGATTAAAGGAGGGGGTTTCATAAACTCATCCCCCCAAAAAGAGTGAAGAATACAGTAACTGAAAGTAAGGTTGGGGGGACTTCTTAAACTCAACAATAGACTTTGGAACAAAGACAGTTACTGAAAGTAATGTATCATAAATGGGTGGGGGGTATGAAGGGGGGCTTCATAAACTCAACAACAAACTTAGTGATGAACAGAAACAGTTATAAAGGAGGTAAAGGAGGGGGGAGGTTAAAGGGAGGATGAATGAAAAGAAAGAGAGAATAAGTAAGAGGGAGGAGATTTTTCCCTTATATAAACAACAAAGAGAAAAATCTGACAAACAAGAAAGGGATTTGAACCCAGGCCTCCAAATTAAATATTCAAGTACTCTACCATTAGTGCTGTCTGGTTACTGTGGGGTTGATGTACAGTGGACCTTCAGATATCCGGATGCTTCAGATTTTTCATCTGGATTGAATTTTTAAATGTAATTCTGTCTTGTATAACTGGTGATTCAGGTATCCGGACGCTTAACATATCCGGACAAACTGACTAGGAACCAAAACGTCCGGATAAATGAGGCTCCACTGTATCTCTCTCTCTCTTTGAGATTGAATACTGTTCGTTTTCTTTACTCTGTGATTAAAGGATAAAACTGTATTTGTGGAAAAAAAAAGAAATCTGATCATGTTATTGTAGGACAAGTTATGTGTTGCTAATTAAATACTCCATAACTTCTTGGCAAATTTTGAAATATATCTATCATGTCTAAAAGTTCAGACATGGGTGATCTTTTATTGTTTTACATCCAAGTTGTATCTACTGTAATTAAACAGAAAATCTCGGAAGGTTTGGAGAGACACGACCAGCGACTGGGATCTCCACGTAAATCTCGCCAGACTCAGGGTCAGCAGACGGACTCAGAAGACGGTGAGACGGACAGCATCCGATCACTTCCTGTCACTGGGCTAGAATTCTCACATCTCGACGAACGCGAGAAAGTCCTCAGTAACGCGAAGGGTATGTTGTTTATGTATCAGAATATACTTTGGAATGATTAGATTTAATGGTAGATCAATATTCGTAGAATTTGTTGGTACCTCCTGTCCTTGAAAAGATAAACTGGATTTTTAGCTCTTCTGAGCCAAAGGCTCAAAGAGCTAATGCTATGGCCATTTGTGCGGTGTGCATCGTGCGGTGTGCGATGTGCGTTAACTTTTATACATATGGGCCATAACTCAAGAACCCCTTGGTCAATCAGTGTAAAATTGGTCACAGGGTATCCATGGCCCAAGGGCTACCATTTATACTAAAATAAGGGTTGGGACCCTGAATCAAGGGGATATAATCAGGAAAACAAAACAAAAAGTACTGGTTGATAAAAAATCTTCTTCTCCAGAACCACCAGGCAGATTTTCACCAAACTTACATACAAGGATCAGGATATGTTGAAGATTTAAAATTGTTCGAGGCATGACCCTAGGGCTAAGGGAGTGGTCTCAAGGTCACTTTAAAGTTGACCTAAATTTACAATTAATAAAAATGTTCATATTTTGCTTACTATAAGGACTAGGATCACCAAATCTTGTAAGTTGATGCATCATATGACTTCACATCATGTTAACTCAAAAGTAGGTCACGGTGACCTACTTTTTAAATTTTGCGGGCATTTGTTTTCAAATTGATTTAAAGGCATATTTTGGATACTTTAAGGTCTATGATCATCAAACTTAGTCAGTTGATGCATCTTGGGACCTTGAACAACGTCAACTTAAAAGTAGGTCACCGTGACCTACTTTTTGAACTTTATGACTTATCCTTTTCAAAACATTTAATCCTATTATTTCAGGCACTGAAAGGGTTAGAATCATAAAATCTTGTAAGTTGCTGCATCATGGCACCTTAAAACATATTTAAGAAAATGTAGGTCACTGTGACCTACTTTTAGAATTTTGCAGGCATTTGTTTTCAAATTGTTTAAAAGACATATTTTGATTTCCTTCAAACCTATGATCATCAAACTTGGTCAGGAGATGCATCTTGGGACTCTGAAAAATGTTGACCAAAATGTAGGTCACAGTGACCTACTTTCGACATTTTATGGCTTTATTTAAGTATCTTAGGTATTTATTGGCTTAGAATCATCAAACTTTGTAAGTTGATGCATCTTGGGTTTTCGGATACTGACGACCAAAAATTAGGTCACAGTGACCTACTTTCGACATTTTATGGCTATATTTAAGTATCTCCGGTACTTATTGGCTTAGAATCATCAAACTTTGTCAGTTGATGCATCCTGGGTTTTTCGGAGAATGTCGACCAAAAAGTAGGTCACCGTGACCTACTTTTTGACATTTTGGCTATATTTATGTAACTCTAGTACTTATCGATTTAGAATCATCATACTTTGTCAGTTGATGCATCTTGGATTTTCGGAGAATGTCAACCTACAAGTAGGTCATGGTGACCTACTTTTGAATATCTCAGGTATTTATTGGCTTAGAATTATCAAACTTGGTCAGCAGATGCATCTTGAGACTCTAAAAAATGTCAACCAAAATGTAGGTCACAATGCCCTAATTTCGACATTTTATGGCTATATTTAAGTATCTCTGGTACTTATTGGTTAAGAATCATCATACTTTGTCAGTTGATGCATCTTGGGTTTTCTGAGAATGTTGACCAAAGAGTAGGTCACAGTGACCTACTTTTGAATATCTCAGGTATTTATTGGGTTAGAATTATCAAACTTAGTAAGCAGATGCAACTTGGGACTCTGAAAAATGTCGACTAAAATGTAGGTCACGATGACCTTCTTTCGACATTTTATGGCTATATTTAAGTATCGTAGGTATTTATTGGCTTAGAATAATCAAACTTTGTCACTTGATGCATTTTGTGCAGTGATTTTTTTAGGACCGATTTGGGGCAGAAATTCGGCCCCAGTCCCAATTGAAAATATGCCTGTTTTTTCCCAAAATATCGTGGAAGTTTTCCCCAAGAAAAACTTACAAAATATTTGATCAAATTCAGTTTGTTTATTGCATGTTTTTCAGTGAAGTTCAAGCAGGTTTTGTTGTTCAGCCATGTTGGATTTCTTCATAATTAGATAATTCATACCACTATTGTTCTTGATGCAAGTAATTATAGATAACTCATACCACGAATAGTCTTGATTTATTAAAACAAAGACAAAACAATGCTTTTTGACAATGCTTTTTAAGTGACTGGGTTTTCTTGGAGATTCCCAATTTAGCCAAATTGACGCTGAAATTCCCAATTCTAAGGGCCCAAGCCCCCAGTCCCAAAGTACAGAAAAAAACACTGTTGTGATTTCCAAGAATGTAGACCAAAAAGTAGTTCTAATTGGCTAAGAATCATCAAACTTTGTCAGGTGATGCAACTTGGGTCTTTAATAGGATACTTAGGGTTAGAGGCTTCAAATACAAGTGATAGGTTGTACAATTTATCAGAAGAGCGATTCAAGGCTCTTGGCCCTCTTGTTAAAGTTTTGCAGATACAAATGAATTAATCCTGGAAATTAAATCTTTAAGAACAAAACTAGCCTCCATGAAATTTAATGATTCCCCGGTTTTAAAATTTTACCCATCATATTTAACTTGCTTTAGTTCTCTATATAGTATGAAGATTTCCTCCCTGTAAATTAACTTTTCAATGAAATTGTAATTTTATCCAAGCTTTAGTCCACAATATAAAATGAATCCAGAATTAGACATACATCTATATCACTAGCTGCAGAACTGCAGCGTTATGGTTTTATATAGTTGTCTTTTTGACCATAAGGTTACATATCCCGTAATGCAAACTATGGCGCTCGATTTTTTCCGCACTGTTTGGGAGAATTTCAGCAATCTCCAGTATTGGTAAATCTTCTACCTTTCCCTCCATAATTCTAGACACATTCTAAATAAATCTGTATGTTTTATACACCTCCCAACCCTTTTAAGTCGTCTCTACAAGCAATAAACTCGATTGAATTAGAATTTTCTGCAATCCCTTAGAGCATTCAAGTCAAGCTAGTTTATCGCCTGTAGAGGGGACTATTTAATTAATGGTTGAGAGGAGGATAAAATATACAAATTAGTTTAGGAATGTGTCTGGAAGTAGAGGAGTAAAAACTAAATGATTTACCAAAATATAAAATTGAAATTATCCTAAACAGTGGGCAAGAAATCTTGTAAATTGCACATTTTTTGGTCAACTGAGTTTAGTCAAGTGACTTTTTGTCTTTTTTTTGTCTGTCGTTGTCTGTCGTACATCGTTTGTAAACTTTTGAACATTTTTAGCTTCTTTTCTATACTTACTGAACAAATTTTAACCAGATTTCGTATACAACATCAATGGGTGAATGGAAACAAAAAACATAGCCGCTTCAAAACTTCAATGTTAGATTGGTAGAAGGATGAACAATGTCGTATCATTTTTTTTATAAACAAAGGAAAGTAACTCTTACTGACATTAAATTTTCCGGATTTTCTTGAGTGAGTTTGATTTTGTTATTTGTCTACTTCCTTGTTTACCAAATAGGAAACCATGGCAATGAAATGTCAGACGACACTAAAAACGTGATAGTTCAATTAATAGAAGTGGACACATGGCATCAGAAGTTTCAAAATGTTTAAAGATAAACAATTCTGCAATTTCGTAATTTTTAAGCCACAGTCACAATTTCATATTAAAAAAGTTTTATTGTCACATTTACGATTTTAACAAACCCCTGCTGAAAAAGAAACTTAAAGCAATGAATGTCTGCTTTAATGCATGAAGCTTAGGGTAAAAATATTTTATTTAAAAAAGACCTCATAGTGTAGTGATTTATGACATCTGATCCCATCTCTGATGTTTTTTAAAGAGGTAATTCTTTGTTTTGCTCCTGAAATGTTAGTCCGTTATTTATACACTGAATTGACAACAGATAATCACATGACCTGAGCTGGAGTCAGTTGATTCCCAGTATCTGTTACTAATGTAAATAATTGGTCAAATCGTGCGGGATCATGAACAAAAATAAAAAAAAAATACATGTAAAAATTATTCTTTATTTGATCGTGAATACAAAATTAATAAATAGTCTTTATTTAACACCAATGCAAACAGACTACATTTGACAGTGATTTGTCTGTTTATTAAACAAAAATCCATGTACATGCCCTTGAAAAAATATATATATGTGCAGAAGTAAATTTTACAAATCAAGTTTCGGTAAAATAATATTTTATTGATTTTCTTCATTGCATAAAATATTCATTTCTTACACAAGAAAAAGTGTTGCTTTTATGGGGAATAATGTATTTACATTGTAAGATACAATATAAAAAAAATTTATTAATTTTCTAGGATTAATTGAATTTAGGTTGAATTCATCCACAGAGGTCATGCATATTAAAAAAAAAATTAAAAGTGAGATGACTAATGTCCAATACATAACTTCCTTGATATTTCTAATGGAATACATAAAATCAACACAAATAAACTGGCATCTTTGTATATTAAATAAATTCCTTTAATAAGATGAACCTCTATTCAAAGGTCACCTCTACGTAAAGGTCACTTTTAATGGATTACGTAGGTGGCTGCTTAATACAGGTTTGACTGTAATTATGATAAGCAGTGGTGCCTCTTTTATTTTATTATAGACTAGTTATTAGCTTTGTAATATATGTAATAAAACAGACAGAAAAGAAAATATGAAATCAGAAGAGGATATGTACATGATAATCTCTATCTGTGAACTCCTACAAATATCATCTGACATTTAATTAATAAAGGAAATCCATTGGCAAACTCTCTGTATTCTCATTTCTGTAGCTGTTTGTATTTTATTGAATGGTTCTTGTCTGAGAGATTGTTGGTATGAGTATAGAGCAGCCTGGAGGTTCCCTGTCACCTGTTGACAGATCCCAAGAATCTGCCATGATATGTCTCTAAGAAGTAAATGTATAAGCTGTCCCTGATCATAGTGAACTAGGGTTTGTAGATCACCTAAAGCTATTTGTGCT